CCAATTCCACTTTCAAGAGGTCATCACCGTTATGAATTTTTTTGTATCCTTCCAGACATTTTCTATGCATATGCAAGAATATATAATATATCATACAAATATCTATCTCTATCTTGGCCCATATGTGTATCTTATTTCCTTTTAGTGTGGGAATAGGATGACTGTATTTTTTAGCTGTACCATATGTCTTTCTAGTCCCCTATTACTGCACGTTTAGGCTATTCGTCATTTTTTCACTATTTCAATATCATATAGTATGTTTTTCTTTTTTATCTTATCTGGGATTCTGTAGTTACAATAAAGACATTTATTCCATTTTCATTTACTGTCATAAAAGATAAATCTGGCCATCTGATTTTATGTTACTTTTTTGCTGCTTCTGCTTTCTATCTTTTTTAAAGATTTTTATTTATTTGAGAGAAAGAGAGACCAGGAAAGGGGGCAACGGGAGAGGGAGAGAGAGAATCCCAAGCAGACTCCCCACTGAGCATACAGCCTGACACAGGGCTCGACCTCACAACCCTGAGATCATGACCTGAATCAAAATCCAGCTTAACTGACCGAGCCACCCAGGCAGCCCCTGTTTTCTATTTTTTCTATGGTTGGAGTTTTATTTCATACATTTCTCTTCTGATAATTTGTTTTTTTAGTAGCTTTTCTATAGTAATATTTAATATACTATACCCTCTGTTTCCTGCTTTATCAACTTTCAACAGTTACTACCAATGCCTGCTCTATAAGGTGAGGTAATGAATACACCTGAATGTTAATGCTTTCTCCTACACATCCTTATTGGTTTCTGATTTTCACTAATGATTATTATTTTTATATTGTCAGAGTTTATCATAGTTTTTCCATAACTATGTTGCTACAAACATTTAACCTTTAACCTAAAGTTAAGGTACCGCTCACCTTCACACCTGTCATTCCACAGCCTTATTAAGTTGAATTCCTCATTTTGATTCAATTTTTGGTTGACTGCTTTTAATTGTTAAGTAGTTTTTCACAGTGGGTCAACAAGCTCTACTCCCTGAAATGTTTGAGAATATTCTTCTTTTGGCTTTATTTATGTTTGAGGCTAGTCTGAATTTTTAGACGACTTGATTTTTCTCCTTCTCAAAACAAAAGGTATGCATACTATGTGCAATAACCCCTAATATTTTTCTCTTTTATTGTATTTAATTTTTCGAATGCTTGTTATGACCCATTAAATTAATATCATGTTATATAGTGTTTAAAAATTTTTTTTTAAATCTGTGCTAGAGGACATGGAGGATGTAGAGATCTAAGGTCACCAGCAACTTCAATTCCGTATGTTCTTTCAAAATATCTTCTTGCTACATCTGCTGGGTGCACACCCTGGGGACTTGTTTTCCATGGTTTTCCATTTTGGGAGAGCAGATCAAGCTGAAAGAGATCAGCTTGCTTAGTGAAACCTCTTAGATTATTGGTTTTATTTTGATGAGTTTGTGTTTGTTTATCTCTGCTCTGCTAATTCTGCCCGTCAGCTACAAAATAGGTTGGAGCTTCTTTTCTCTTCTCTCCTTTTACTCCAAGAAGTTTCTTCAGTGGAGGAGGAACTATATCTCTCAGAGGAAATATCTCTCTTCTAGCTCCACCTCTCCTCCACTCTTAAGTTGGAACCTCACAAGGATTTACCCCACAATTACAAAGGATCCTAAACCTGCCTTCAAACTATTGTTTTCTAAATAGAGAAGTTTATTTTCTGTAATCTTGATCTTACTTTCAGTGAAATGTATACCTTGCTAGAGACGTAGGCATGTATCAACTCTTAATGAACTCCCCCTTTTGGGTTGAGTCCAAATTTCATTGCGTGGTGTTAAGATTTATGGTCATTTGCTAATTCCATTGTGTAGATGGAATTTTGTCTTCCCAATTTCTCAATTGTTTGTCCATTTAGAGTTTGAGGGAGGAAGTAGAGTAACCATACTCTTACTCCATCATTTACTATAATCTCTTGTTAGAGATCCTTGATCTGATAGAGATAAGTTCTTTGGGGAAGATTATCCAACAGCCTTTTAAGGTATAGATTAAAGTGGCACAAGGTGACATACCAAAAAATGTTAGAATAATCTAGGCCAGCACAATCCAATAGAACTTTCTGCAACGATGGAAGTAGTCTGTATCTATCTGCATTGTCTGATACAGTAGTCATGAGCCACGTGTGGCTATTGAGCATTTGAAATGTGATTTGTGACAGTGAGAAGCTGAATTTTACATTTTATTTAACTGTAATTAATTCTAATTTAAATGTATACAGCATCATGTGGCTAGTGGCCACCGTATTGGACAGTGCACAGCTAAGCAATATAATGCCTAAATACTAGAGTTTGTCTAAAGAAATGGAAATAAAAGAGGATCTAAAAGAGTTATAATGGAAAAAAGGAAACAACAATGCTTTTGTAAGGAAAGAGAGAGAAGAAATTGTGCTGGGGAGAATGGGGAAGCTGGTGGTACCATCCTATAAAAAAGATATTTTGTCAAGAGCTATTTTGAAAGATAGATATTTTAACAGGTTGAGTTCCCAGTGATAAGAAGACCTTGAAGTGGAAAGGACTCTAAACAATTAGAATTCTCACACTGAATTGGGGCAGAGAGAGGTCAGAGCTACCAAAAACAAAAAAATCTATTTCCTCCACATTTCTCGCCAGCGAGAGTCTCTTCTGCCTCCATACACCCCTTTTCAGATTGCTTTGTCCTCCCCCACATGGAGAGACCCCGAAATATGGCATAATAATGACGGTTCAGAGAAATTACTGTTTCACCTACTGAATGATTAATATGAAATTAGTTACTGAAACCCTCAGTGGTGCAGAGAGGATCAAGGAGAAATTTAGTTTTGTTTTAGAAGGAAAAAAATACAAGATAAAATACTGCTTTGCATACACAGAGTACTTTTCATCTGAGAATCTTTACATACCTAGCAAGCCTAATTAATGAGAAAACCTCTAAGACAGAGAAGTGATGAGATAAGGAGCACAGATACTGGTGTTCTATTTCTGTGACTTTTAAAAACCAGGCTTGGTGTTCTCTGCTTTCATTAATGCACAAGTGTAGCTTTATGCAGCACCCACGAGATGTTCACCTTTCTGCTGAATGATTTCTCATGAAGGCATCGCACTGAGGAGGCATAGTAACCACACAGAATCCCAACCCCTGACTTTATTGATGCCCTGCACTCTCTTTGCTGTGGAAATCCATCCCTATCATCATAGTGCAGCGAGCGCTCTCTGATAATCCAGTCTGCACTGTCCCGGAAAGATCGGTTTTGTTGCAGAAGAGAGCAAGTTATCTTCTTTATAAAAAATTATTCAAAACAAACAACCGTGAATCTAGGACTAATGTGCACTGAACGGGGACAGGCAGGGCTTCTTAACAGGTACCCTACCGTGTAATCTTCCTTTCATCTTCATTCAAAATCCCTTGGAGAGTCAAGCTCCTCTTTACAAAAATATAAATTCTTCTAATGACTTATGTGTAGGATACATGATTTGACTTAGTCAAAGAGATATGCAATAATGTACCCTGGCATTTATTTTCATCTCTTGTGACTTGGGGATAGATGGTGGATTTTTGTCCTATACCTTCTTCTTCGTGTTTTTTTTCCCCCTTCCCTTCTCTCCACTTAAAAAAAAAGGGGGGGCATTCTGGCAAAAGAGAAAATACCTTGAAAGATAAAGATGATGGCTTTTAAAGATTTTTACAAAGAGTTTGATGTTCTGTAAAAAAAAGCTAGCTGCCCTGTGCAAAAATAGCTGTTTTTGCTTGAAGAGGAGAAGGTACTGAGAGAGTTCAGTTTTTGTTTTTTTAATTCATCCAAGGTCTCTATACATGTGTCCAGGCATGTACAGATCCTTCACTTCTAGCCCAGAGCCCTCTTGTATTCTCAGAGCCCAGGATTCAGGCTTGTCCCCATCCGCTCCTGACTTCTTCCTCTGGCTGCCAGAGCCAGCATTGCCGGGCTTCTCCCAGAGTGCACCCTGTTTGCCCAGTGATGTAAGGTTACCTTCTTTCCTCATTAGCACAGAACACCTTCTGACACCATCACATCACCATTGTCCAATAAGATGCCACAGTGACCTTTCCATTTTAACACATAACTGAGAATTTAGGAGAGCTGATCTAACACTTTCCAGATTAAATGTCAAATTCTTAAAATTCAGATGGATTTGGAATCCACCTACGTATATTTCCTGCTCCCATTCCCAGCAGTCTACACAGTACACTGATTAGCAGTAGCATTTTGTAATATCACTTAAGGCTTGAGCACCGTGGAGTTCTGCCAGTAATGTTTAATTCACTTATATGTGCCAATTCATCTCTGTCAGGAGCCTATTAATTTCTTCACTATTTTACTCTGTCCCTAGCCCCTATATAATGAGACACCATGATCCCCATTTGTGTGACCAAAAAACTTAGAGTCTCTCATAAATTACCTCGGATCCCACTGCTTCCAGTGACCAGAAAGCCTCTGTATTTCTTTTTCATATTTAAATCAATTTTGCAAGTTCTTTCCTTTAAAAGAATACACTAGAACTCCGGGGTACCAAATAGTGAAATCTTAGCCAAAGTATGTGATTCTGATGGGCTCTTTAACATACATCCCTCTCCCAAGGAAGACTTCCATATTATCTTCCACACTCACTGTTCCCACAGGCACATCCATTTGTAGGAAGGGAACGTTAATAAATATCAGCCTCTGACTCTGCAGTCAGCACACTCATCTGTGGGCAAGATGTCAAAATACATATTCCATTGCTATAAAAGTCAAGACCCCCTAACAAATAAAGGTCAGAGATATAAAATTAACCCCACTGATACGCCATTGGCATCTCTATATGGTGTGATCTTGGGTTAACAGGAGAGTAACAGCTAAGTGACTGACTAGGAGAAATCAACACAGATTCAGAAGAGTCTGTCATTGTATTACCACATAAAACTCACATATGTCTCTGCTACCTGTTCTACATTTTTTTCAGGATTGGAGCAAAACATCAGGAGCTAAGGGAAAAGCAGGCAAGAGGTCTTATTGATTATGCTACTGGTGCAGCTGGATCACTGCATGATATGGACGATGATGAAATGGACCCCAACTATGCCAGGGTGAACCACTTCCGGGAACCATGTACATCAGCAAGTGTCTATAGATCACCATCTCCACCTCGGGCTGGACCCCTGGGTTACCATCGGGATGGCCGTCCTCTCTCTCCAGAGAGAGACCACTTAGAGGGTCTCTATGCCAAGGTCAACAAACCATATCATCCACCGGTGCCAGTTGACAGGTAATATAACTTATTGAAAGACAAATATAGCTTTAATTCAGTAAGTTTCAAGTCATCTCTCCTGCTGAAGCCAATAAAAATATATCCTTTTAATCTATTAAAACTGAAATGAGATAGTCCCCTTGGTAAGAGCTAGGCTTTGACCCACCCGTAAGGTATCAGCCATCAAAAATAAAACAAAAAACCAGTCATAAGGTGGCATGAATGAATGGTAGTTGTTGAGGTCATGGTGCAACAGGGAGCAGTTTTTGAAAGGATATTGTGGCAGAGGACTAATGATGAAAACTTTGAAGGAATAATGTCCTTTCTCCTACAAGTCCTACTGTGAAAGACTAATTTGAGAAGATGTCATAACACTGGGAGGTGAGGAGTCAGAGAATGGTGGCTTCTACGGAGGTATAATGGAGCTGGAATTCCGGAGAGCTGCAGAGGTGCAGAGGACCTTGAAAAGCAAGGTTGGGATTTTACACTCAAGGAAAATGTGATCCTATGTAGATGTTCATGGATTATCAGAGGTAGAAAAGGAGATAATCTTGGCAATAGGAGTTTGATGAAGTAGAGAAAGGTAAGAGGTGACAAGGCCAAGGATCTTTAGGCTTAGCAGCTAAGGAAAGAGATAATAAGACCATCTGTCAGCACAATTGAAGTACGTAGGGAACAAAATGATTTCAACCCCACCTCCTGCCACAAATAAAACGTCTCATCTCTTGAAAGGCTGATATAAGAGAGTTTTAGTCAATATACATTGTTAGGTGACCCCTGGAATTACACACGCAAGGAATGAGTTGACTGACCTTGGCTTAATCTGGCTGCAGCTTGAATTCTGGAGGGAGGAGGTGAGGGGGAAGGGTGGCAGGCACAAAGAGCTCTCATTCTAGATGAAAAAAAGACTTGTTTTCCAGATTTCTTTTGGTCCTGACAACCACCCAGTCCCTATTAGTAACCAGCTTTTGTGCGATAGCATGATATATTGCATCTGTTTACCGTTTACATTTCCCCAGCTGGGTGATATTATGCACTTTCAATTAGGTTGGGGAGAGGAAGGGAAATCATGGCATTTTTATGCAGACTGTAAAGTGTAGCTTCACAAGACTGATTACCTTTCAGAGCCTTTCCAATAACCAAGTGGGAAGGAAGGAACAATTTTTAATCCTTACTGTCAAGCTTCCAGGTTGATAGTATTAAAGAAAGATGGTCAAGTTTTTCTTTGGGATAAAATGAAAATATAAATTCCTATGACTGTGTGAGACAGCCCCAATAACTAAACTGTTAATTCAAACGACTGATTAAGAGTTGGCCTTTTCTTCTAAGCCTTCATCTAGGGTTGAATTTTTTTCATGTAAATGTTAATACCACTCATGAGTCTCTTCTGGCCCAGACCAAAGCCAATCTTATTTTCCCTAAATCAGACAGGTCTTCATAGCAATCGCCTTTGCACAGGCCCACCGCTAGAATCCCAGCACAGAGGGACTGTTTCTAGGAACCTCCAAAGCCAGTAATTCCCTGTACTAATTCCATGGAAATAAACACAAGACATTCTATTAAAAAAAAAAAAAGTTCACTGGCCAAATGCATATGAAGAATTCTGGATTATGCCCCACCGAGCAGGTTTTCTTACTGCAGTCTTCATATCCCCAATATGCTAACATGCATTGTAAGCCTCTAAAAGGAGCATACAACAATCAGCACTATCACTTTCTAAATTTTTGTCACCTAATGCTTATTTTGTTTTTCCAGATCCTATGGTTTTTCTTTGGAACAGGAGGAGACTCTATCCTAAGCTAATTTTTGCCCATGTAGATTTGCCCCATAAAGAAATTTCTTAAGATTGTGTTCCCTGTAGCCAGTATAGAATCATATAATAAAAAATGTTATTTATTCCCCAGCCCAGACAGATGTGTAAGTGATCGTCTTTCCTTTGGCTCCCATTGTATTAATAAATGATCTAAAGCTCTGTCTTCAGTGGAGTTTTAGTCACTTGTCATATTTTTGGATAATAGATCAAAGTATGACTCTTTATGCCAGAATTATCTTTATTCTGTTCTTCTCTTTCATTATATTTGAAGATCATTCTGCTACTTGTTCTTTAAGTCTTAAAATGAGCAGTTTTTGTCTCGGCACACCATACGCGCTCACTCATCATCATTGTTAATGTTATTACTGTCCTTTATCATGAAATTCTCAACTTTCCTGTTATGCCTGGGAACAAGGTGAGTCTAAGAGGAGTGTTGCTGTGGGCATATCTCACACGGTGTCTATAAGTAGGAACCATGAGTTCTAAACCTACCGTATGTACAGTTAGAGGCATATCATTCATTTTGCCATCTGTTTGGTCTTTCATTCAGCAAACACTCATTTGGCACCTACTGTGTTCTAGCTACTGTAGTAAGTTCTAGGGAAGATACAAAGATGATTAAGAAGTGGCCCCAGTGCAGAGAAAGTTGTATTCTAGTTAGAAGGGGATTGACACATATGGAAATATATCGTTGCAGTATAATGTAAACAGAAGTAAAAGAAACTTTTCTAACTCTGCTGGTCAGGAAGGATCTTCAAAAGGGAGCAGAATTTGGACTGGCTCTAGAGGGATTAGTAAATATTGACCAGATCTGGTAGAAAAATTGTTTTCCTTATGGAATAATTAGCATATACAAGGGCAAAGTGGACTGAAACAGCATGGCATGTTGGGGAAGCTCTGAAGCATCCAGAACATGGAGTGTGGATGGGAAAGAAAGTAATAGGAATAGGAAATGTGTCTGGAAAGCTGGTTAGAGCCATATTATGAAGGAAGAGGTTCCATCTTATGTTCTTATATATTGATTGGTAGTAGCTGTCTGGAAATCTGTGCTAAGAAGAGTTCTGAAGTTATACTGAAATCATGGTGTCTACCCTGGGCTCCAGAGGATGAGTTGAAGATGTGTGCAATCGGCATTTATTTATATATTGGCTAATCCCATGGACACTGGGAGCCATCAAAGTGTCAAAATTGGGGAATGAGCTGATAGTTTTGTATTTGGGGAAAAATAGCTTTGCCAGTTTGATGGCAGACAAAGAGGAAGATGATTAGACTATAAGACAAATTAAGATATGATTACAGTATTGAAAGATGGGAAGGGCCTGGAATAAGAGAGTGGCATTGGATACAGGAAAAAAAAAAAGAAATAGCCAAAAACTTTAGCAGAGACCACAGAGGTGAGGCTTTCAAATACTTCAGGGAGGCCAGTAGAAAGGGAACTAAAAAGAGGATTTAGGATATAGCCACTAAGAGGTCTTCAACTAATTTAGAGAGAACAATTTCAGCAGCTAGATAGGGGCAGAGGGAAATTGCAATGTGAGGAGAATTGATAAAGCGGTAAGAACTTAGCAAGCTTGGTGATAAAGAGAGCATTGTTGTTACAGGATGGAAGAGGTTGCAACTTTGAAGTTCCTTACATAATAGTACAGTTGACCCTTGAACAATACAAGGGTTAGGAGCACTGACCCCCACCTCCGTTCGTAGAAAACCTGCATATAACTTTTGACTCCCTAAAAACTTAACTACTAATAGCCTACTGTTGACCAAGAAGCCTTACCAATAACATAAACAGTCAATTAACACATATTTTGTATTTTATATGTACTATATACTGTATTCTTACAATAAAGTAAGCTACAGGAAAAAAAATGTTAGGACAATCACAAAGAAGAGAAAATACATTTATAGTACTGTGCTGTATTTACAAAAAAAAAAAAAATCTGTGTATAAGTGGAACTGTGCAGCTCAAGCCAGTGTTGTTCAAGGGTCAACTGTGTTTCAGAGTTAAAAAGAGAATCCAGAGACCATCCAGAATAGCCTTTTCATATTACTAAAGAAACTGAGGCCCAGAGAAGTTTGAGTGACTTGCCCAACGTCACATAGCATGGAGTAAGGACTTTATTCTAGATTCCTTTTATGTTATACAATCTTTTCCTTACACTACACCACTATATAGACTATATAGACCCATACTCTCATTTCCTAGTTAAGGGAACTAGTACCCAGATAGGTGGATTGACATCCATTTGGCTCCCAACATGTGAATGGCAGGCTAAATCTTGGACTTTGGAATGAGGCTGACCTGGGTTCAGTCCTCTTCCAGATATTACTGCATGACTTTCAGTAAGTTGACTTTTCTGAGATGCCATTTTTCATCTTCATGCATATAATTCAATAAACATTTATTGAATCTACTGAGTGCCAGGACATCAGTTCAGTGCAGAGCTCATCGGGGAACAAGGAGGGAGATGGGTACCTTTCTCTGGAGCTTACAGTCCACTGGAGGCTACAAAGATGCAAACGGGTAATGAGAACACAGTGTGAAAAGTGCTTTATATGGGAAGCATAGGGTGCCTGGTGCAGCTGGAGCTGGGGGTGGGAGGCACAGAGAATGGCATGGGGGTGAGAGAAAGCATGGTGTGTTGGTGGAACTACAAGAAGCTCAATAAAATAGAAACCTGAGTGAGAGAGTAAATGGCAAGAAATAAAAATTGGAGAGTCCAAAAGCTGGGCAAAAAGCAGAAGATATAGCTTTGGCAGGCTTTGATAGGGAGTTTGGACTTTATCCTGAGATGTGGGGCAGGATTGGGGTTAAGGAAGGGCTCACTAATGTGACACATAATCCTGGCCTTCAGCCTACCATTAAATGGCCATTTATCCTCACCTCCTTATTTGCTAAAGGAGGATTATCATAATAGCCTTACACGTTATAATGGTCAAATACAATTTTGCATTTTGCATTTTTTGGTATCTCTATATAGAACAAATCTCTATCTGTCCATGTATCTCTGTGTCATGGGGACATGTCATATGTGTGGCCCACAGTGGCTTCCTAATTGGGGGAACTAATTTCTGCCTCTTAACTCCCTGCTTCTCGAGGCTTGGCCCTGAATCTGCAGCCTTTCTAAGAAAAAACTGACTTATAAAGGATTCCTCTGTAAATGATGGTGGCTAAAACCAATCCCTATTTCTATGACAGAATCATAGG